TCAAAGAACTTCTTTGTTTCTGCCTTCATTTTGCTACCCAGCAGTTATTCAGGAGCAAGTTGTTTAATTTCCATGTAGTTGTGTGGTTTTGGGTGAGTTTCCTGAGTTCTAATTTGATTGTACTGTGGTCTGAGAGACTGTTATTCTTATGATTTCTGTTTTTTCTTTTTCTTTTTATTTTTTGCATTTGTTGAGGAGTGCTTTACTTCCAATTATGTGGTCAATTTTAGAATATGTGCTGTGTGGTACTGAGAAGAATGTAGATGTCTATTAGGTACACTTGGTCCAGATCTGAGTCAAGTCTTGGATATTCTCGTTAATTTTCTGTCTCATTGATCTGTCTAATATTGACAGTGTAGTGTTTAAATCTCCCACTATTATTATGTGGGAGTCTAACTCTTTTTGTAAGTTGTTAAGAACTCACCTTATGTATCTGGGTGCTCCTGTATTGGGTGCATATATATTTAGGATAATTAGCTATTCTTGTTTGATTACCATTATGTAATGCCCTTCTTTATCTCTTTTGATCTTTGTTGGCTTAAAGTCTATTTTATCAGAGACTAGGATTGCAACCCCGGCTCTTTTTTGCTTCCCTTTTGCTTGGTAAATGTTCCTCTGTCCCTTTATTTTGAGTCCATGTGTGTCTTTGCACATGAGATGGGTCTCCTGAATACAGCACACAAATGGGTCTTGACTCTATCCAATTTACCAGTTGGTGTCGTTTAGCTGGGGCATTTAGCCCTTTTACATTTAAAGTTAATATTGTTTTGTGTGAATCTGATTCTGTAATAATGTTGCTAGCTGTATATTTTGCACATTATTTGATGCAGTTTCTTCATAGTGTCATTGGTCTTTATATTTTAGTATGTTTTTGCAGTGGTTGGTATTGGTTTTTCCTTTCCATATTTGGTGGTTTCCTCAGGATCTCTTGCAAGGTAGGTCTGGTGGTGACAAAATCCCTTTGCATTTGCTTGTCTGTAGAGTATTTTATATAAAATTTATTAAAATTAGCTGGGCATAGTGGCAGGTGACTATAATACCAGATACTCAGGAGGCTGAGGCAGAATTGCTTGAACCCAGGAGGCAGAGTTTGCAGTGAACTGAGATTTTTGCCACTGCACTCCAGCTTGGGCAGCAGAGCAAGATTCCATCTCAAAAAAAAAAAAAAAAAAGAGGAAAATACAAGAAGGATATATCATCTAGACAGAAATCAATGACAAAATATGACTCCAAATGAGTCATATTTTTTACCAAATATTAGGTAACAAAATAAGACTCCACAGTTTTAAGAAGGTTGAAATTATATCAAGTATCTTTTCTGACCACAAAGGTATAAAAGTAGAAATGAATTATGGGAGAAAATTTGAAATATTTATAAACGTGTACATTAAACAACATGCTCATGAATAAATAGGTTAAAGAATAAATAAAAAGTGAAACAAAAAATCTTAAGAGAGATGAAAATGAAAACACAACATACCACAACTTACCAGATGTAGCAAAAGAAGATCTTGGCAAGAGGAAAGTTTATAGTAATAAATGCCTATATTAAAAAAGAAGAAAGAGCCCAAACTAACAGCCTACTGTTACATTTCAAGAAACTAGGAAAAGAGAAGAGCAAAGTAATCCCAAAGTTAGCAGAAGGAAGAAAATAACAAAGATCAGAGCACAAATAAACAAGAGACTAGAAAACAATAGAACACATTCCCAAAACTAAGACTTGAGTTTTTGAAAAAATAAAATAATTGACAAAACTTTGATAGACAAACTAAGAAAAAAGAAGACTCTAATAAAGTCAGAAATGAAAGAGGAGACATTACAATTGATACTACAGACATACAAAAGATCACAAAAGAATACTACAAACAATTTTACAACAACAAACAGGGCAACCTAGAAGAAATGGTTAGATTTCTAGAAACATAGAAAGAATCAATCAATCAAAAAAAAAAAAAAAGAAAATCTTTGCAGACTAATAATGAGTAAGGAGGTTGCATCAGTAATACAAATCTCCTACCAAAGAAAAGCCTAGAACCTGATAAGATCTTGTGTTCATTGTTTGGGAGAATTAGTGTTATTAAAATGTCTGTACTACCTAAAGTGATACACAGATTAAATGCAATTCCTATAAAAGTTCAATGGCCTTCTTGTTTCACAGAAATAGAAAAAGCAATTTAAAAATTCATATGGAATGACAGAAATGCTAAGTAGCTGAAGCACTTTTGAGCAAAAAGTACCAAGCGGGAAGTATCACACTACTTGTTTCAAAATATATTACAAAGTTATAGTATTCAAAACAGAAATGTACTGGCATAACAACAGACACATGGGCCAATGTAACATTATAAAGAGCCCAGACATAACTCATGCATTTGCGGTTAATTGATTTTTGCCAGAGATGCCAAGGATAAACACACTGTGGGAAAAGGACAAATTTAATTAATAATGCTGGGAAAATTAAATACCCACATACAGAAGAATGAAATTGAACCCTTATTTCACACCTTATGCAAAAATCCACTAAAAATGGATTAAAGATTGAAATGTAAGACCTGAAAATGTAAAACAACAAGAAGAAAATTTAGGGGAAAATGTCCTTGAAATTAATCTTGGCAATAATTTCTTGGTGATGATCTCAATAGCACAGGAAACCAAAGCGAAAATAGACAAATGAGATTACCTCAAACCAAAAAGCTTCTATATAACATAGTAAATAACAGATTGAAGAGACAACCCAGGAACTAGGAGAAAATATTTACAAACCATACGTGGCTAATATACAAAATATTTAAGAAATGAAACAACTTAAATTTGTTAGCAAGAAAACAAAGAACCCCATTTAAAACTGAGCAAAGGACTTGAATGGACGTCTTTCAAAAGATGACCCAAAAGACTAACAGGTATATAAAAAAAATTGCTCAACATTGCTAATCATCAGGGAAATGCAAATTAAAATCGCGATGAGATATTGCCTCATACCTGTTAGAATGGCTATTATCAATAAAATAAAAGTTCAAAAGTATTGGCAAGGATGTGGAGAAGGGAATCCTAATATACTAATGGGAGAGGTGTAAATTAATACAGCCATTATTGAAATCAGCATAGAGATGCCTCAAAAAAACTAAGGATAGAATTACCATATGATTCAGCAGTATATTTCTGGGTACATAGCCAAAGAGATTGAAATTATTATGTTAAAAATATATTGGTAGATTTTCCTGTAATTTGTTCTTAATGTCTCTCTTTGAAGAGTGGCTAGAAACTCTAAGCCTGCTCCGATGGGCTCCAGTGAAGGTGGTTGTGGTAGTGGACGTTTTCAGTGTTCTTTTCATGGAATATTTCTTTATACTCATAGACAGCTAATGCCTAATTGTCCTGGTTATGACCAGGTGTCTCCTCACTGGAAACTTGTTTACACTGGCAGAGACCCTTGTGGTTCTTGTCTGACTAGTGTCCCGTTCATTTCTACCAAGATAACCATTCTCTAAGAGAGCCTTGTCCAGAAAAGAAGTTATTTTCAGGTGTATCAGTCAGGTGAGACACAGAGGAGGCAAATCAAAAAAACACATAATAGAAACAGTTTTATTACTTGAAGATCCCAGAGAGAAGAGGGCAGCTTGCCTCACAGGCCTAATGGGAGAGGGGGCAGCCCTCAGAGACATGCATGCCCAACCAGTGGGTGGGTAGCAATAGAGAGCGAGTGACAGCCCAGAAGGCCAAAGACTTTATTGGGGTTTAACACAGCATTACCCAAGCAGGGAGTAACTGATCGGTGGGTTTAGAGCAAGGAGGCATGAGTTATTGGAAGCTATGTTGTATTGAGGGGTGTTCACTGCAGCACATCTGCAGTCCAAGTGGGGTGTGGGGGTCAGTGGGATAAGTCAAATAGGTTGTTTCTAGGTGTCCTACAGGGAGGTGGTAACCAAGAGGCCAAGTATCTGGATTGACCACCTTGAGAGACTGGAAAAAAAGGAGAACTGGAAATTGTGTTAAGGGTTGTACCCCTTTCTTGTGACTCTAGTTCTTGATTTTATTTTAAGATACAATGAGAATACGTCACGTTTGAAGTACTGAAAGGTATATAACCTGTGGTGTGCACAAATAAACTCGCTGCTCAGGCACTGCCCGGCCGTCCTCCAGACCCCACTGTCTATCTGTCTTTTCTTCCGCACACTCTCTCTTCCAGGTTGAGGACATCTGAGTGGGGTTGAGGCTCTCTGCTGGACAGAAGTCCCCCAGCAGACGTGCTGGTTCCCCACAGGTGACTAAGCCCTGCTTCTGATATGAGAAAGTTTAACTTATATTGAAAATGAATGCTGAGGCAACATAAAATCATAAGAATTCACTACAGATATCTCTGCACTACCATGCTTATTGTAGCATCATTCACAATAGCTGAGATATGGAAGGAAATTAAATGTCCATCCATTAATGAACAAATGAATATAAGAAAGTGATATTATGTGAGATATATGTATCACACGATCTATATAAAATGGAATGCTATTCAGCCTTAAAGAAAGAAGGAAATTCTGTCTTTATAACAACATTCACTAATCTGGAGGACATCATGCTGAGTGAAAGAAGCTAGGCACAGAAATGCAAATACCACATGATCTCACTCACACGTGAAATCTAAAAACGTTTAGGTCATACAAGTGGAGAGTAGAATGGTGGCTACCTGGGGGGCAGTGGATGGGGAAAGGGGAAATTTTAAAGAAGTAGATTTTAAATGTTCTCACTATAAGAAAATTAAGTATGTAAGATGATGACCGTGTTAACTGGACTTAATCATTTCATATTGTACATAATATACCAAAATATCACATTGTATCTAATAAATATATAGAATTATTATTTTTCAATTAAAATAAAACAATAAAATATTAGAATAATATTTAATATTTTTTAATCTTTTGCCAGAAAAATGTTGGAATTGATTTTAAAAGTCAACTGGGAAGGCATAAATAATACAGGTCAATCTCAAAGAGTACCTCATTAATAAGGAAAAGATACATAGTTTAGTTTTAGTCTTTATGTATTCTATTTCTTTTGAATGGCAATCAATCGCTCCTTTTTTTCCAGTTGTCTTGTAAATTTGACCCTTAGCCCCATGGGAAACTGAAAAAATATCAGACGGCTCAGTAAAATTTATTCCCTTTATTTTAAATATAACTCACAGAATCTTTTCCCATGTTTGTTGATGATAAATTTACTGTCATGTCATCTCAGTAGGACTATAACGTCATGCTGAAGATATGTCTGTGAAGAGTTTTGTACTGAGAACGTCACACCAGGACAACGCCTCGAAGGGCATTGATTGCAACCTTGGGATTTATACTCCCAAAGGTCCCAGTCAAGGAAAGAGTATCTCATTATTCTTTTTGTTTTCATAAAGCTACCATTTACACTGGGATAAAGGGTCCATCCCCTGATACCTTGAATGCCCTGAAGTATTCCCACATTCTGCTAAAAAGCAAATCTTTTGGACAAACTCAGGCTCTCTTTTCTGTAGCAATGACAATCAGTTATTTCCAGACTGTTCTCCCTAGTTAGATTTAAACACTGGCAAAAATGTCATAAGAAGGCAATCAGATTGATGTTTTTAGGTTGTATAAAGAGAGCCTTTTCATCAGTTTATACATGATGAGGTCGTAGACCATGAAGAGAGGGACGGAACATGGACAAACACAGGAAGGTCAGTACTGAAAGAAGTTGGTGCACTTCTTAAGAGGTGGACAGTTTCCATATTTAAAAATTGCAAAGTTTAGATTTTACATGTTCTTACTACAAAATAATGATGGTTGTGAGGTGATGCATATATTAACTAGCTTAATATAATCATTCTATAATGTGTATATATATATCAAAACATTACAATGTACTTCATAAATACAATTATTACTAGTCAATGAAAAATTAAAGAAAATAAACCAGATATAGTATAAAGGAGTGGATATTACATAAATTGGGAAAATGTCTCTTAGTAATAATTGGGGAAAGAAGAGATACTCAGCGATCCATTTTCTCTATAGTGTTTGATTTAAAAGAATAGACAAGATATTTTATTCCGTAGCTCATGGAAGCTACATAGGATAGGGTATTCATTTCCCTCTTTTCCACTAAGAAGAAAATAGAAGCGTAAACTTTTTTCTACATGAGTTCTGGTTATTTTTTTTTTTGTCCCTTATTTTCTATCCCTTATATCGACTCTGGAAGAATGCTGAAAGATAAGTCATACTAGAGAAAAATATCAGATTCCACCTTTTAATTACTGTAGTAAGGAACTCAGGCAGCTGCATTTGGAAAGAAAGTTATGCCTGCGTTCACAAAAGTATCCACAGTGTTTGAGTTCGAGTGTCATATGGAATCTTACCTTTCATCCTAAGGAGATTTAAAAAATATTTTTGGAATTTTTCCATGATTTCTCAAAAGGCGAATGATCATCCATTACCAATGACATGGAAAAGTGTACAGTTCTATAGGCAGGAGCAACAGAGAAATCCTTTCAGGAAAATGCTAGCCAAGGAAAATAAATTGGCTTTAGTCACTGATTTTTTTTGAAAATTAATACATTTATATATCTTTTATGTTTTATTACAGCAGATATTAAACTTAGTTTCTGCCCTCCTAGACTCACAATAATTGAAAATGACAAAAGGCCAAAGGGACACCATGTATCGTCAGAGGGAGGATGAAGCCTTCAAGGGATGTAGGGAGTTGACTGCAGGTACGTCTTTGTACCTATCCGGAGCATTTGCAAAGACTTGGCCCAAGTGCAATGTTCCTAGCTCTCCAGCTGTAACTCAATTAACTAGGCAATCCCTTACATCTTTTTCAAGAGTCAACATTACAATATTTGAGTTATTAAAAGGTTTTCAAAACACTGAAGGTGAGTCGGGTGTAAATAAATTTGTCTTTTGCCATAAGGAAAAGTTGGCTTTGGCAGGAAGGGAGCAAAAGGGGGATGGCAATGCTATTTAGGAATATTGGAATGCTGGGTGCCTGTATTTTATTGCCGAAACTATACCATGAAAAGTGTTTTTGGCTGGGCCTGGTGGCTCATGCCTGTAATCCCAGCACTTAGGTGGGTGAATCATGAGGTCAAGAGATCAAGACCATCCTGGCCAACATGGTGAAACCCCTGCCTCTACTAAAAATACAAAAATTAGTTGGGTATGGTGGCATATGCCTGAAGTCCCAGCTACTTGAGAGGCTGAGGCAGGAGAATCCCTTGAAGCTGGGAGGCAGAGGTTGCAATGAGCCAAGATAGTGCCACTGCACTCCAACTCTGTCTCAAAAAAAAAAGTGTTTATTTTTCTCATGAAAGATTGACAATGTACAAGAGAAAATAAGCAACTGAAAATTAAACTGTCAGAGCATATTTGAATTTCTTCTTTATTTTTTAAAAAGAATAACTACAAGATGAATTTTCTGGATTTTGTACATTATTGACATATTGTTGTCTACTAATATTAGTTCATGTCTACTCAGAAGCTCCATTAAAAATTGTATAAAACCCAGAATATACAAATTACAAATTGTGACTCAGAATTTAAAATATACTTCATTATTGACCTAAAGCATATAAGAGTTTGTGGACACTGTGTTTAAGTCTTCTTTTTGTCTAACAATCCTGTTATACAGTCTTTCAACTTCAGATACCACATTCAGAGCTCCTCCTCACTGCTGTGATCCGTACACTCTCCCTTTCTCTCTTACCCTCCTATGTCTTTGTTAGACTCTATTTTTTTGTGTTTCAATAATAATTATATTCCTATTTAACTTTGGAAGCATTCTATTACTGACATCTCTATTCCATTTTACCTTATCAGCTTTGCTTATATTGTGAATTTTTATAAGTTGGTGCATGTATGTGCATATGACTGTTTAAACCTTCATTTGCACATTATTTTATTTGTCTAGAAATGAACTGCTAGCATAAATGAATAGCATTGAGTTCTTTCTATAATCATACTGAATTATTTATTTTCAGTCAATATTAACATTTTAAAGTGACTACCTAATTACTTTTTAACATGGGAAATTTCTATCTGTAAGTAGATTATGAAGACTGTAGTTATTCCTTTCTCTGTAACTGCAAATTTGGAAATAGCCTGAAAATTAAAAAAAAAATCAATTTAACTTTTTAAAATAAAAAAATTATTTTCATAAATGTTGTTTTTCTGCTGATAGAATATCTTAGTCTTCATTTATCCAAATGTTAACTCAGGGATGTATAAAAGAACTCAGCAACTTGAAAAGCTATTGGTTGTATCCACAGCTGGACAAATATCTCGAGGAAGCTTAAAAAGGAAACTGTATAAAAATTATACTGCCAGTAAACACTATGAGGAAGTGGGATACTTTTTCCTCCAATCTGTTTGCAAGTGAGTGGTTGACAATGCATGGACAGGCTTTGAGTTTATGGGATTTTCTTTTTTTTTTGGGATGGAGTTTCGCTCTTGTTTCCCAGGCTGGAGTGCAATGGCACAATCTCGGCTCACCGCAACCTCCACCTCCTGCGTTCAGGCAATTCTCCTGCCTCAGCCTCCTGAGTAGCTGGGATTACAGGCACGCGCCACCATGCCCAGCTAATTTTTTGTATATTTAGTAGAGACGGGGTTTCACCATGTTGACCATGATGGTCTCGATCTCTTGACCTCGTGATCCACCCGCCTTGGCCTCCTAAAGTGCTGGGATTACAGGCGTGAGCCACCGTGCCCAGCTATGTGATTCTTTCTTTAGGTGTAAGGGAAAAATGAATGATGATGAAAAAAAATGCAAGTTCTGTAGACTTCTTTACTCTACTTGGATTTTCTAATTGGCCTCATCTGGAAGCAGTTCTCTTTGTGGTTATCTTGATCTTCTACTTGATGACACTGATAGGAAACCTGTTCATCACCATCCTGTCATACCTGGACTCCCATCTCCACACTCCCATGTACTTCTTCCTTTCAGACCTTTCATTTCTGGATCTGTGCTACACCACTAGCTCTATCCCTCAGTTGCTGGTCAATCTCTGGGACCCAGAAAAGACCATCTCTTATGCTGGCTGCATGATTCAACTTTACTTTGTTCTTGCACTGGGAACCACAGAGTGTGTCCTATTGGTGGTGATGTCCTATGACCATTATGCAGCTGTGTGTAGACCTTTGCATTACACTGTTCTCATGCACCCTCATTTCTGCTTGTTGGCTGTGGCTTCTTGGGTAAGTGGTTTTACTACGTCAGCGCTTCAATCCTCCTTCACTTCTGGGTACCCCTGTGTGGACATCATCAAGTGGGTCACTTCTGTGAAGTTGCAGCACTTCTGTGATTATCATGTGTTGATACCCATGCAAATGAGCTGACCCTCATGGTCACGAGTTCCATTTTTGTTCTCATACCTCTCATCCTCATTCTCACTTCCTATGGTGCCGTTGCCCGGGCTGTACTGAGGTTGCAGTCAACTACTGGGCTTCAGAACGTGTTTAGGACATGTGGAGCCCATCTTAGGGTTGTATCTCTCTTTTTCATTCCGGCCAAGTGCATATATCTCCAGCCACCATCAGAAAATTCTCCTGATTGAGGCAAGTTTATCGCTGTCTTTTATACAGTAGTCACACCTAGTCTTAACCCTCTAATCTAGACTCTGAGAAACAAGGATGTAAGAGGAGCAGTGAAGATACTAATGGGGTGGGAGTGATCCTTTCTACATGTGATATTAACAGTATAATGGAATATCTCCTCACAATGATTCATCCATCTCTTTATTTATCAACCATTCTTTTATTTATTCACTGTGAGCACTTGCTGAGCATGTACTTTAACAAGGTCATGGAGTGCCTGGTAACAGGTATAAATAAAACACAGTAAGCATAAATACCATTCACTTGTGGAGAAAACAGCTATGTAAAATCGAAGGAAAACATCTATAGCAATGTTTTTCCATGGCACAAACCTAATGAATCCAAGACAGACTTTTCCTGATTGAAAATAGCATGAAATTTGTTGTAAATCTTGATAAAAGCAGAGTTATAATTCCTAGGAAAAGATAATACTTTTATTTTTTTAAATCTCTAGAACATGTCTTTAATTTCTTGCCTTTTAGGCAGAATGCTTTTGACTTCTATCTTTAGTTAAATACACAGCAAAATACTTTAAATCTTTTTCTCCAACACCGCTTGTTCTTTGTTGGATAGTAAATTTTGAGAGGAATTTTGGTCCATATTCTTTCATATCCAGTATCAATCGTAAGATAATAAGTTTTATGAATTGTATCAAGAGAGGCTTTGAAGCAGTGTAGAAGTTGGCATTTGAGATCCCTCTTTCTTGCAAGGCAGTGAGAAGCATATAGGAAGTGACAAGAGCTGGTAAAGCTGAGCTGTGTGTTTCATAAAGGAATGGTCATCACAGGCGAGGCATACTTAGGTGAAGTAAGTGATTGGAGCAACTGCATAACCTAAGGATCTATGGAGAACATTTGAGGCAAATAGAGAGCTAGGCTCTGAAAATGACTTCAAGCCAAGGGATGTATGAAAGGATTATGTGAAAATATACTGGAAAAATTTTATGATAAAAGCTGTTATGTGTAAAATATTAGTTTATTTTTAAGCTTGATCTAATTTGAATATTAATGATTACTAAGTCAATATGAATGTCAGTATATGTGTTTCAGATAAAGAAATGTATTTTATAGAAGTTATCATTTTGTTCTATATATTATTGTCAACCATCTCCATCTGAAATAATTGTACTATACATAGAGCAGTTTAAACTGATAGTCATATTCAAATGACTAAAGGAGAATTCAGTATTAAGTAACATGCTTGCAATGCCTGAGTTTTCTCTGTAACTCCAGTGTCAGCTCTTGCTTTTGAGGCCTGTGAGATTTAGATATGATTGATTCACACGCTACTTCCTAAATTATGAAAATAAAAACACATCCCAGAACTTCCCTCCAATTTCTAATGTGACTTGCAATTGCATTGATTCTGCTGACTTTTCCTTCTTTCTGCATCTGTGACTCTTCCTTTATTTCTAACGAGGCATGAAAAATATGAGGTATGTGCCTTTGTCCTTAACCTTACCCAGGAAATGAAGAACCAAGAATGATGTACATAAAATAACTTTCAGTAAGCAATTGGGATCACATAGGGTAAAACATCACATAAAAACAAACTTTTAAAAACTTATAGAACATAGCTTAGCTTTGAACTATTTTCTGCTATGGAAATCTTATGATTCAAATCACTTCCTGTAGCATCCTGGTTTCTCACCTATGAAACCCCCCCCCCACATCTTTATAATGGATAAGTGAAAAAATTGTACTTATTTTTGATATACAGCATAATATTTTGATATATGCATAATTATACAATTATTATTCAAGCTAATTAACATATCATTAACTCACATACTTACCTGTTTTGTGGTGAGACATTTAGGATCTGTTATTTTAACAGTTTTCAAGTATGCAGCACAGTGTTATTAACTATAGTCACCATACTGTAAAATAGATCTCTTGAATTTATTCCTTCTGAAACTTTGTACCCTTTGACCAACATCGCCCAATCTTCTATATCTCTCTCCACTCCTAAGCCCTGACAAGCATCATTCTACTACTCTGTGCTTCTGTGAGTTCATTTTATGTAGATTTCACATATAAGATCATGCAGTATTTGTTTTTCTGTGCCTGGCTTATTTTACTTAGCAAAATGTCCTCGGGTTTGCCATGTTGTTGAAAATATTAAGACTTCCTTCTTGTGTTAAGGCAGAATAGTATTCTATTGTATATATATACTACACTTTCTTTATTCACTCATCCATTCGTTGACTCTTAGATTGATTCAATACCTTGGCTATTATGAATTTCCTGTCATAAAAATGGGAGTGCAGATAGCTGTCCAACATAGTGATTTAAATCTTTTGTAGATATACCCAGAATGTATCCAAATGGATCATATGGTAGTTTTATTTTTATTTATTTATTTTTTTTGAGGCAGAGCCTCACTCTGTTGCCCAGGCTGGAGTGCTGTGGTGGGATCTCTGCTCACTGCAACCGCCACCTCCCAGTTTCAACCATTCTTCTGCCTCAGCCTCCTGAGTATCTGGGACTACAGGTGTGTGCCACCACACTCAGCTAATTTTTGTATTTTTAGTAGAGATGGGGTTTCACCATGTTGACCAGGTTGGTCTCGAACTCCTGATTTCAGGTGATCTGCCTCAGGCCTCAGCCTCCCAAAGTGTTGGGATTACAGGCATGAGCCACTATATTTGGCCCTATTTTTAATAGGACCTTCACAGTGCTTTTCGTCATGTGTATCCTAATTTACATTTCCAAAAACAGTGTATAAGGATTCCCTTTTCTCCATATTCTTACCAACACCTATTATCCTTTGCTTTTTTCCATAAAAGACATTCTAATAGATGTGAGGTATGAGGTGATATCTACTGGTGTGGGCCTGGGCTTTAGGTCAACTGGAGCCTAGAGCAATGGGGAGCAACCTGAAGCCTGGACTTGGCCTTGGTCTGGAGCCTGGGTTTATCATGCCCAGCTGATATGTGCTGGTGTGGAGAGGAGGTCCTAGGGTACTGGCATGGGTCTTGTGGGTACTGGGTCTAACCTGGGGGGCCAGGCTGGGCGTGGTGGCTGAAGCCTGTAATCCCAGCACTTTGGGAGGCCAAGGCGGGTGGATCACGAGGTCAAGAGATCGAGACCATCCTGGTCAACATGGTGAAACCCCTTCTCTACTAAAAATACAAAAAATTAGCTGGGCATGGTGGTGCGTGCCTGTAATCCCAGTTACTCAGGAGGCTGAGGCAGGAGAATTGCCTGAACCCAGGAGGCGGAGGTTGCGGTGAGCCGAGATCGAACCATTGCACTCCAGCCTGGGTAACAAGAGCGAAACTCCGTCTCAAAAAAAAATAAATTAAAAAAAAACCCAAAAAGCCTGGGGGGCCAACTGGCACTGGAAAGTCCTATTTTGCCATTATGTTGATATCGCTTCTATCTAAATTCTTTGTTTGGCTTTTTAACTTTCTTTGCTCTTTTCTCCTTTTTCTCTTACAAAACATATACATTTTCTTTTATATGTATAGACTTTTTGTTTTCTTTTGGGATGTTATAATTATAGTACATTTAATATTGAATCCTAGTTATGTTAGACTGCACTATTTAGTTTGTAATCTGAGAAATAGATGAGTTACCAACAAGTCCCCCAAAGATTAACCCAGATATTGTTTTCATTGTTTCGTACTTTTGAAACCAGTCAAAGAAACTTTATGCAGTTCTATCACAGGTAGGACAATAGGAATGAGTTTTCTCACTTTATCAAACTGAAGGGAAGAAGATAGGTGGTTTGTGTAACTTCTGGCAATTTGTATGTGAAAAAATCAGGGTAAGGACAATACATTTTTAGCTCTGGAGACCCATTCCCTTGTCAACAACACTGAAGGCAAGGTAGAAGCCCTGAGATTCTCCCCTCACCAGCCCTAAACCATCAATGTTTGCAAACTGGCATTTTCACAGCACACATGAATTTGTGCCACAAGCAACTTTACTGAAGAACTAACAATGAAGCCAGCTCTTCCCCAGATAGGAGTGAAGGCTAACTTCACTAACGCACCAGCTTCTCTGGCCCTGTAAGTTTCTCCTCCCCCTTCAGGCAGCTGTCTCCCAATCTTTGTCCGGTACATCTTATTTTAGTGTTGTGCAGCACATTCTTATATACATGCTCAATTATCTTTCCTTATTTTAACTCTGCAGTAAAAGATTATTGACACAAATATGTCATTCAGGTAACCACAGAAAGTAACTCTGGCTTCCAGCCTAGGTATACTCAGGCTCTACTCTGCCATGTGGCTCAGGTTCATATCTTCTATTTTATACATATGAGGCTGGAAAGGTGATTAGTGGTCATCTATTATGAAAACATCACATGATTTCAAACATAAACTTCCAAATACAAGTGATTATATACAAATTATTATTCCAACAATCACAAAAAACTTACAGAAAAGTTATAAAAACAGAAAGACTTACCATTGACCTTCACCAGATTTTACAGATGTTAGCATTTCAACATGGGGGGTTTATCATTCTCTCTTTGTACTCATATTAATATGCATTAAATTTTTTTTCTAAAACATTACAGAGTGTAATGCACAAGTACCCCTAGGTTGTCACAAGACTATTTCCTAAGAAAATATTGAATCCAGGTTAATAAATTGGCAGTGTGATGGCTGTTAGTCCTCTTTAATTAGGAACCATTCCTCAGTCTGTCTATGTCTTTAATGTGCTTTGTAGTTTTGAAGAGTACAGGCCATTTATTTTAACAAAATAATTGTTTTTAACAAATAAGAGAGATTTATTGCTCATAAAACCAAAATGTTCAGCAGTGCTGTGGGCTTCAGGCATAGCATGATCAGTGCTCTGGATCAGTATCTCTGCAGTTTCCTCAGCTATGTCCTCTTCCATGTATTGGGTTTGTCATCAAGTTGATAGCCCTCACAATCATGAAATGTTGTCAGCAATAATTAGACCCATATGCTTTCTTGTTCACATTCAAGAGGATGGATATCAACTTATAACCAATGAGCAAAAATGACTCTTTATACAGAGCTTCATACGGGAGCATGAGTTGTTTGCACATTTCTGGCAACATTATTGGGACAAGCATGGACTTGCAGTGATTGGCTGAGACTAATCAAGGCCCAGCTCTGAAGCCAGATGTTCAGGGAGAGGGCTGTATATTCAAATCCACCCCTCAAATGCACAAAGAGCAGATAAATCAAAGAAGCAGGCAGACAAACCTAGGTTGTTGCTTTGGGTTATTTACTAAAGGGATTTACTGACAGATACGTTGCCTTGGGTGGCCACAATGTAGTTATATTTCTGCACTGCAGCCCTCCAGAGCTAGGGTTTATCTTTTGGGGAGAGTATGCTTGCTCTGGAAGAAACGTGCAGATAGCTACAGATGCCATGGCCTATGCTTCCTACAACAACATCAAGGGTTGTTTTGGAGGAAACTTGCAGTGAGTAGGTGTTCCTACATAAAGAGTAATACATCAACTAAACATCTTACAGGCATTCCTGAACTTGGGACTTGGGCTTATTCAGAAGTTACATGGCAGATTAGCATTTAAAGTCAAGTCACTCTTGTCCCTACACTGGGGGTGGGGTTAATTTCATGCAAAACCCCCACTCCACAACGGAGGAGAGATGGGATAAGTCTGGGGAGGCAACAGTCATATCACAGCCTCTGCTGTCTGCATGAGAAAACTGACCACAACAGAGCTAGTAAGTGACGAAGCGTGGATTCAAATTTGGGCTTTCTGATTTTATAGTCTGTTCTTAATCACTAGCAATTGTTCCTTCCTGTAGACATCTGGTCTACAAGAAGATGAGGATTCAGTATGCACATTTCAGTATGCACATTTCTTGGGTCTTTGCAACTTCTCATGGGTAGGTCTTAATTTGCTCCAGTTCATTTGTTTTAACACCTAATATTTGAACCACAGCGAATTTATCTTGCTC